AATGAGACAATGTGAGGTTGCAAGGCTGTGAAGGGCAGAGGTTTTATCCATATCAGCACAGTCTGCAGGAGTGTGACAAACATCAATGTATGAATGTACTTGGCTTTGGAGACAGGCTTCCTGGATTTGAACTTCAGCTTTGTCTCTTACTAGCTGCATGACGTTGGAAATATCACTTAATCTCTTTGAATCCTCAACTATAAAACGGGGAAAGCTTACTTTATAAGGGCTGCTGTAAGAATAAACTGAGAAAATCCTCATCAAGAATTCAGAACAGTTTCTAGAACGTAATACACAATAAATGTCAACTATTATTATTGTGATTTAGATACAAAGGTGAAATAAGAACAGATATTTAAGCATATACTATGGCATTCAAATTTTGTAGATGTTTTGCTATATTCTACTTCCAAAAGTAGTTCAAGTCAGTGGTTTGGACTGGGCTGTGCAAACACTGTTTAAAATGGTGTCATACTGATGGGAGTATATTCAGCTATTACATCTTCTGGAAAATGTGTGTCAACTAAGGCACTGCTTCACTCAAAACATCCGTCTTTTATTCCTCGTTCATAAGGGGAAGCAGCAGGAAGAGATTTGCAACTAATATTTTTGTCTTTATTATTCACCTTCTCAATACACCTTTCTTGTTAATATTATAATTATTCTTCACACAGAACTTACCATATTTCTATCCTCCCACACTAGCTAATCTTGCTTACAGAAGAAAAAAATTAACCTCTTAACATGACCTTCAAGGCCCCCACAATCTAGCCTTAGCCTATGTTTCCAACTTGTTTGATTACTTCCCATCACAAATTTGATACTCTCGCCAGACTTGATTATTCACCGAGTTCATCATGTATTTTCATTTGCTCACTCCTTCATTTATTTTTTTCATTCAGATACTTTATAATTGCTTACTATATGCCAGAAACTTTGCTAGGTGTTAGGGATTAAAGATAAAAAGAATGCACAGCCTTGTTTGCATTCGTACAGAATGAGCCCAACATGTGAAAGAAGAAGAGCAAGTGGAGAGGAGATACAAATTTAAAAACAGAGTGAGTCCCATGGATGCTGAGTTTCTGCCCGAGTCCCTGAGGTCATGGTTCCTGGTGCACTTCCTTCACTTCCACAAGTGACCGTCAACATCTCACCCACAGAAGCCAATGAATCCCTACGTGGCTTTAGCAAGTTTGAGTTGAGTTTAGTAAGTTTTGAGTTGAAAGAGTCCCTACTGATACTTTAAGAACTCTGATGTAACACGGTCAGGCAATGGGAGCTACAGAGAAATTCTGAGATGCAAAATGTTTTTAAATAGATCAAAATGTATTATTAGATCAAAAGTGTAATAAAAAAGCGGTTCTAGTGAACTGTACAGAAGACGGATTCAAAGAGACCATTTAGGCACCTCTTCTGCTATTCAAGGATTGAGTGCCTAGTCCTTAGAGAATTTCTGACTATTGAAATAATCCACCAAGGCCTAGTTCATTTGGCACCTCTTCTACAGCGTCTTTCTGATCCCACTCTGCTGGCATGAATGGTCCTTTGTTCTGCATTCCTGCAGCACTTACTTCCCTTGTACCTCTGACACCATGGGTCTCCTAATTCAGCTGCATCAGAATCACCTGGAGGGCTTGTTAAAACTAGACTGCTGGGCCCCACCCTGAGAGTTTCTGATTCAGAAGGTCTGGGGTGGGACCTGAGGATTTTAACAGGTTCCAGGTGATACAGATGCTAATGCTCCAGGAGCTACTGCTCTAACATATTTCACTGCCAGCTGTGTTCTCTTTCCTTTACTCATCTGCATCCCCCCCCCCCCCCCCCGTTAGGTTAACGGTTCCCTAAGGATTCTCTTATTCATTTTTGTGAAATTCCCAGGAGCTAACATAAAAGCTTACACAAAACTGGTATTTGATATGATGTGTGATTAACAATGGAGAGAAGATAAACATTTTACCATAATAAATTCTCTTAGTTACAGTCTAGATTCCCTCAAAAAATGAACTGTAACTAGAGAAAATATCAAAAGGCAGAATATATTCTGACCTCTCATGGGCTGCCTAATTTTGATTACTTTTTTTTTTTTTTTGAGAGAGAGAGAGAGTGTGCGCGTGCAGAGCCTGATGCTGGGCTCAATCTCACTACCCTGAGATCAGTATGTGAGCTGAAATCAAGACTTGGATGCTTAACTGACTGAGCCACCCAGGCAGCCCCTGATTGTATCTTCCATTTGATTTCTTTTAATCCTTGCACATAAAGCACGATTATTTTCAAATATAAGAAAGCTTGAGATGCATGATCTTAGAGATGACTAGCACTTTTCTTCCTCCTGCCATGTATTTCTATTTCCTCTTGATTTAGCTGGCATCTGACAGCCCAAGGGAGAAAACCTTTAAAGCATTTTCTCATCCCACTATTTAGAAATGCTGATCAAACTAACTTCCTTTGTAGCTGTTCTTATGGCAAAACTTTCTGTCCCTTTAGGCTTTGTTGCCTTACAGCTATTTAAAAACATCTAGGAATAAATTTAACTAAATAGGCAAAAGACCTGTATACAACAACAACATGACATTGATGAAACAAACTGAAGACATAAATAAAGGGAAAGATATACTATACTCATGGATTGGAAGAATTATATAGTTAAAATGTCCAAGGCAATCTACAGTCACTGCAATCCCTATTAAATTTCTAATGGCAGTTTTCACAGAAATAGAACAAACAGTTCTACAATTTGTATGGAATCACAAAAGACCCCAAATAAAGAAAGCAATCTTGAGAAAGAAGAGCAAAGCTGGAGGCATCACACTCCGCTTTCAAACTATATCACAAAGCTATAGTAATCAAAACAGCATGTGGACACACAGATCATTGCAACAGAATAAAGAGCCCAGAAACAAACTTGAGCATATATGGTCAATTAATTTGCAACAAAGAAGTCAAGAACACTTGGGGAAAGTGGGGAAAGGAAAAAGGAAAGTCTCTTTAATAAATGGTGCTTGGAAAACTGTACAGCCACATGCAAAAGAATGAAACTAGACCACGATCTCACACCATGCACAAAAATTAACTCAAAATGGATTAAAGATGAATATAAGACCTGAAATCATAAAACTGCTAGAAGAAAGCATAGGCAGTAAGCTTCTTGACATCAATCTTGGTGATTATTTTTTGGATCTGACACCAAAAGGTAACAAGAGCAAAAATAATCAAGTGGGATGATATCAAACTAAAAAAGCTTCTGCACAGCAAAGAAAACCATCAACAAAATGAAAAGTCCATCTGTGGAATGGGAGAAAATACCTGCAAATCATGTATCTGATAAGGGGTTAATATCCAAAATATATGAAAAACATACAATTCAATAGTAAACACAATCTGATTTAAAAATAAGCAGAAGATCTGAATGGACATTTTTCTAAAGAAGATACAGAGATGGCCAACAGGCACATGAAAAAATGCTCAACATCACTAATTACCAGGGAAATGAAAATCAAAACCACAAGGAGATATCACTTCACACCTGGTAGAATGGCTATCCTCAAAAAAAAACCAAGAAATAACAAAAGTGTTGGTGAGGATATGGAGAAAAGGCAAACCTTGTGCAATGCTTGTGGGAATGTTGACTTGACACAACCACTATGGAAAACATTACAGAGGTTCCTCAAAAAATTAAACACAGAACTACCATATGATCCAGCAATTTCACTTCTGGATATTTATCCAAAGAAAACAAAAACACTAACTTTGAAAAGATATATGCACCCTCATGTCATTGAAGCATTATTCATAATAGCCAAGAAATGGAAACAAGCTAAGTGTCTACAGATAAGTGAATGGATAAAATCTGGTATATATATGTAGACTATTATTCAGCAACAACAAAGAATGAAATATTGCCACTGGCAACATCATGGATGGACCTTGGGGGCATTATGCTAAGTGAAATAAATCAGACAAAGACAGACAAATACTGTATGATCTCACTTATAAATGGAATCTAAAAGAAACAAAACAAAACAAAAATAAAAACCAAGGTCGTAGGGGCGCCTGGCTGGCTCAGTCAATAGAGCATGTGACTTTTGATCTTGGGGTTATGAGTTTGAGCCCCATGTTGGGTACAGAGATTACTTAAATCAACAACAACAACAAAAACAAGCTCATAGGTAACAGAGAACAGACTGGTGGGATTGTCAGAGGCAGGAGGGGTGGGCAAAATGGGTGCAAGTGGTCAGAAGGTACAAATTTCTAGTCATAAAATAAGTAAGTCCAAAGAAACCATAATGGAAATAAATTTTTCATATGCCATAAACAAACAAGCGAACAAGTTAGTCAGTCCTGGTGAGGTAATGTACAGCATGGCAACTATAGTTAATGATACTGTATTACATATTTAAAAGTTGCTAAGAGAGAAAAGTCTTAAAAATACCCATCACAAGAAAAAAGAAACTCTGTAACTATGCGTAGTGATGAATGTCATCTCGACTTACTGTGGTGACTGTTTGCAATATACACAAATATCGAATCATTATGTTGTACATCTGAAACTAATATAATGTATAAGATAAAAGAATAAAAACCCTAGGTTTAAAATTATTTTTTAACCATGTCAGTAAATTAGATTTTTGTGAATTAAAAAATAGCATGGAGCCTACCTTAAACCCTGGGAGACAGGAAAGGCCAGTCTGCATAGGATTCTGGGCATTCAGATCAGCTCTCTGTTTTCTTTATTGGAAATGACATCCTCTCTTTTGTGAGCTAATGTGGGTAGGTGATAAAATCAAATATGCCTAGAAACAATATTCTGTTCTTACTTTACCATTCTCATTGTCTCTACACGCCCCATTGGTAACAACGGGTAATGACACACTTCTTGTGCTTCTTGTATTTAGACTGATCTTTATAATTCTTATTGCATCTCCAGGTAATGGAGTAGAGTTTTAGAAACCTGGATGCAGTATGTAAGGTATACAGAGAAAAGATCTGTAGAGTGGCATTACCTTAAACATCCTGTGACGTTGTAAAATATATCAAAATCAAGCAAACCGTTAGCTTTAGGGTAATCTCCTTCTGGCCACCCTGAGAAGGGAATGATGATATTCTCAGTCAGGATAAGCAAGGCTTCTGTTATCATGAGATTCTTGAGTTTGTCATTAGATGACAAATTCCACAGCAAACCTAGAAAAGCAAAGAGTACTATCAAAACAGTGCAGGGATGGGTCAAATGACTGCTGAAAAGATGAATTAGGGCCAGCATCCCCCCAGGCTGTGGCTAGCTGTTTGGAAAAAAGGGGGAGCGAGAGAGCCCCTTTCCCAACCGAAAGAATCGGTTTAGAGTTTGTTAGATGGCAATGAAGCCGATCCATAATGAGAGAGAGAGATTATGATATAAAATTATGCCAGTTTAAATCAATCAGGAATGTGAATGAAAGTTAGAAATCCTTTAACATTTATGTTGTTTCTCTTAAAAGATCCTACCATTAAGCTGACCTCACTGAGATAATAAATTCTGGTCTCATTAACATGGAGGCTGGAAATAATCCTATTTTATTAAAGACTTCAATGTTTTTATTTTTTTTAAAAATATTTTACTTTTTTTTTTTAGTAATCTCTATACCCAACATGGGGCTTGAACTCACAACCATGAGATCAAGACTTGCACTTACCGACTGAGCCAGCCAGGCACCCAAGTGTTTCTTCTGTAGAAGCAGGAGAGAATATCTCCCTTTGTCTCCCGCTCCCCACTACCTGCAACTTCCACCTGATATTTGCCTCCCAGTGAGAGCAGAAGGGCCCACAGAAAACCTTTGCCTGTACCCACGCCTGTCACCAGTAGGCTGATCAACATCACCAATTAATACTTATTAAATCCTATCCAATGATACTTTCTGTCCTCCTGGAATTTATGCTAGCTACCTCACGTATTTCCTACATTATAGTTCGGCAGTGAAGGAGATACAAGAGTATTTGATCTATCTGCCGACGTGTATGGCCTAAAGCATTGGCCTAAGGCTGGTACCACTGTCCTCATTCAACTTTCCCTTTCCTCTTGAAACATCTCCACCTGACCCGCCATTAAAGAGAAAGGCTATATACGCCAACTCAGAAATAAATTAAGAGAACAGCATACTGTACTTTCCAGGGCCTTTGTGAGACAGAGCCTGAAGCTGGGTATCTCAGAGAGAATACAAAGTGGCACCATACATTTAGGATTTGTTTTTCTTACAAATTTGGCATTCAAATACTTCCGATTCAGTGGAAGGACTATGCACCTCTCGCTGGCTATTCCAGTGACTCCCAGCAGGTGTCAAGTTGCCTTAGCTTCCTTCATCCCTCCGTGAATGACTCTAACTCACTCGCATCCAGGAAGGCAGAAAGAGAGAAGGGGCGGAAAGAGAAGGGAATCTTCATTTTCTTCCCTATTCATGCCCCTACCACCCAATCGGTAATTCTTACTTTTAAAATGTACTGCTTTGTCTGCATAAAAGAAAGCAGGAGCACAGGTATACAGGACAGCCTACCTTGTGAAAAAAGCGCAGGTGCTTTTTTTTTTGGCTGAATTATGTGGTGATATCATCAGCCCTGATTTTAATGACTGAAATAATTGTCCGTGCGGTTAAAGCTTGCTAATTATTCGACCATACTAATACTTGGCCCACCATTTAGAACACTTGAGGCCAAACACAGTCTTTTGACCTTCACCAGTTCACTCTGGCTGTGTACCAGTACGTAATTTCTGAAACAATAACCAAATTCCCACTGCAGCCTACACTGAGCTTCCGTCAGATAGAGAGACACTGGGTCTAGTGTCTTGTGAGGACCAGCATTCTGGCTCAGGTCTTCTCCTGATCCAACTCGCACTGGGGATTACTCAGGAGCAGTGTCCCTCAGCCACAGGTTTGTAACACAATGACTTCATTCCTCCCACTTCATCTTGAGGGGCGCTGGACAGGGGGAGTGACAGAATAAAACTCCAAAGGTGGTTGAAAACAATTTAGAGGCAGGTCTGAAGTTGAGTGGTCTGGTTACTAAGCTACTAAAGGAAGTTAAAAAGAAAAGAGAGAAAAGGAAAAAAAAAATAGCTTCCTGTTTTAAATAAACAAACAAATTAACAGTCTCTGCTTGCCAGAGGCTTAAAAATGTAAAGTATAATGACATTTCCTCTTTTTAAAAAGGACCACAGAGGGCACTCAAAGGAAAAGTATACCTTACAATAAAAACCAGAAGAGGATTAATTTTAAACAAAGGGAGTGGAATTTTCCTTCAACGATGGGATGTCCTTCATAGCTTGGCATGCAGTATTACTTCCATAAAAGAATCTGGCTTGGGAGTGTCAGTATAATTTTTGAATTTTTAATGTAGGATATTGTATAGAAATGTCATGCCTGCCAAATTTGTGTATGGCACGAAGCTAGGAAGGAGCTTAAGTGTTCACTAGAGATTCGGGATTATACATACTTAGACACTCCCCCTACGTGTACACACAAAATCAATAAAGGACCAATTGCAAATTGGGAAAATATGTATGACAATACGAGGTTAATATCCTCAATATATAGAGTTCTTATAAATCACTAAAGATTCAATTGCTAGAAAAATTAACCCAATCTAAAAAATGTTAGAATCTAATACACATAGGAATGCATTTTCTCTAGTAATGAAAGAAAAGCAGGTTTAATAGCTAGATATTTTTTGTGACTATAAGAAGGCAAAACCAGAACTAATGAGTGGAAATTCTAGGGAAAAAGATTCTGGCTCACTGAAAATACAAACTTCTAAGAGAGCTTTGAAGACAACAGAAGACCTGCTTGTAAGATCCAGCTTTATTGCTGGAGCTGATAAAAAATGAGCTCATCCTTTATGAAAACATTGACAAGGAGTTTTTTTTACCCCCAAGCTAGATTGGTACACTAGCCTAGCAGTTTCCATATGAACCTAGTGGCATATCTGAATCACATATTTCTGGGCCACATCCCAAATTTACTAGCCAGAATCTCAGGATGGCTCTCAGGAATCTGTATTTTATAAAAATGATCTCCATGGCACCTGGCTGGCTCAGTCGGTAGAGTGCATGACTCTTGATCCCCACGCTGGGTGTAAAGATTACTTAAAAAAATGATTCCCATTTCTGGCATTGAGAAACGAATGGGCCAGATGACCCTTGATAGAGGTTCCTTTCGATGACTTGATTCTAGATGCCCTGAGCTAGTATTAGGGTTTAGGTTTTCATTGGTCTCACCTTTAACTTCTAGTTAATTTATTCATAGTGCCTAGATCTCTATTATAGTTCTTCGTGGCAGCCGATAAGCCTGTCATTTTCTATCACTAAGTTCTCATTTGAGCCAAAAAGAAAGAGAAATGGATTCTGGTAAGAGATATACTTTGAATAATTAGCACTTGTAACAGAGATAATAATAACTGCATTATCCAGAAATTTATTGCCAACTGTGATATTTGCAAAAAATAGCTAACTATAGTAAAGGGATCTTATAAAATATTAAAATCCATGTTTTATTAATATTGCCCTTTAGGACTAGAAATAGAGTTATTTAACAAAGTCTGCATGATACTTTGGTAGCAAAAACTGCAAGTATTATGACTAAATAAATCCCTATTATCAGTACAGAAGGAGAAGGAGGAACAGGAGAACTGGTGTGTTTTAACCTCGTTTTGCAAAGTGATCACAGAACAGGAGGATTTTTTTTTTTTTTTTAATAATTTCCCTTGCATGGATCTACTCCTCTCACCTAAGTTTTGTAAATCTCGCCTGAAATACCACACTATTGCAAAGGCCATTTAGTCTGAGTTATATATGAACCCAAGGTAACCTGTTGCACATTACAAATGAAGAAAAAAACAGAATTATTTTTAAAAGGTGCATAATGAATATTTTACAGTAAAATGTTTCTGCTATTAAAATACAGCAATCCAATTAAATATTCCCATTAAACATGCAGAGGTGAATATGCATTTTTGACAAATTCCATCAACAATCATCCCGACCCTTCCTTATGTGACATGCAGGACAAGAATCTCCTGCTTCATTCTTGCCAAGGCAGAGCCCTACTCGCTCCTCAAAGTCCTCATTACTCAGTGACCCTGAAGATGAACCTCTGAGATCAGTATGTACTGTTCTCATTTCAATTAAAGTACACTACCACGCTTACTTGGTAAGGGAGGGGAACAACCTTGTAGAGGGAAAGTCTTTGATCCTGAAGTCTTTTCACCTGAAAAGGAAAGAGCTTCCCTCCTCATCTGGTACTGAAAACGCCAGGAGGGTTAGTGAACAAAGCTCTGGTGCTTCTTCTATGCATATATAGAATCAGATGGTTAATGGTTTTATATCTTGGCCAGAAAAATCAGGGTCTTACCTGAAAACACACTTGATTCTCTTATTTGTGTGTAATCTAGATATTCCCAGGTCACAAACCTCTTTTTTTTAACAAAGATTTTATTTATTTTTTAAAAAATGTATTTATTTGAGAGAGAGAGGGAGAAAGCAGAGAGAGATCAAGCATGAGTGAGGGGGAGGGGCAGAGGAAAAAGCAGGCTCCCCACTGAGGAGAGAGCTGGGTCTCAGGACTCTGAGATCATGACCTGAGCTGAAAGGAGATGCTTAACCAACTGAGCCACCCAGGTGCCCCAAAGATTTTAATTTATTTGAGAGAGTGTCAGTGGGAGGGAGAGGGAGAGAGAATCTGAGGCAGACTCCATGGTAAGCACAGAGCTTGACGCGGAGCTTGATCCCAGAAACTGAGATCATGACCTTGAGTGCAACCAAGAGTCAGACACTTAACTGACTGAGCCACCCACGTGCCTCCACACGTCTCTTTTACATATTCAATCAGACAGCCACAGTTGAGAAACTTGGAGGCATAGCACTGTTGTTATTGCAATAAACATACAGGCATGAAATAAGTGGCATCCTAATATTAAAGGGTGCAAAAGTAGTTCATTAGAAGCCTGTTCTTTCAAAACTTTGCTGGGGGGATGGGAGGAGACAGGGAGTAAAGTATGAGAGGATCGCATCTGAAAATGCTTCAGAGGAAGAGATGACTTTCGAAGGATGAGAGGGTTCACCAGGTGGTCAAGGTGTGGAAAAGGATGCTATCTAGTCCAAGAAACAGCAGAGACAAAGATACCAAGATGTGGAACAGACCAGCTAATCCTCTGGGATTTCAGAACCTGGGCTGGGAGGGTATGAGAGGAGACACTGCTGCCCATGGTCACCGGGCTCACATCATATCTTAGGGGTAATGGGGAGCCCAATGGGGCAGTATTTTCATATTAGAAAGAAATCACTAGGTGCAGAGCGATGGATCGAGTGGGAATGCACAATACTGAATCAGAGGGCGGGTAAGAAGCAAATGCAGTAGTAGACCAGAGGCGTGAAGAGGACCGAAGCATGTCAGTGTTAAGTGGAAAGAGAGGAAGGTTCAGAGAGGAGTGAAGGAGCTCTCTGATCTGAGATTCTTAAAGACAAGCCCTTTCCCAAAGAAGTGTAAAAATGAGTCACTCTCTGCCCCCAAAGCAGTAGGTGTGAGCCACTTTCTTAGAGCAAAACATCCAGATAAAGCTAGGTTCGAATCTGGGCCTTGTGCTCTGCTAGCTGTGTAATCCTGGGCAATCTACTCCCCCCGACCACCTCGCTGCGTGTCACGCTGATCATGAGGAAATCATCAACAATGCGTTAGGGAGATGTCGGGGGGCATAAAGATGAAAAATGGAAAGTCCTAACTTAGTGTCTAGCATGTAAAAGGGGCTCAATAAAAAGATGTTCACCAAATAGACAAGATTCACATATATGGTTGCTCGCTTGTGTTTCCTTACAAAGATACAAACATGTCTACATTAAGTCAACAGTTTATTTCTGAGGCCCTGAAAGCACTTACTTAGCTGTTCTATTAATAGAGCTAAAGGAAGTTATTTGTAAGGATTTGTATCAAACATTCAAGTATCAACTCAATTCAATTAGCACGTAATGAGCACCCTCTGGTAGGGGTGCTTGGCTTGTTCTGGAAATCCCGAGAATTGCACAATAAACCTCCATTTATCAGCTCTGTAGATTATCTAAAGATAACTGAATGGTTTCTATGGCATTAATACCACAGAATGTTCTCTGACCGTAGTTTCCTATTGCCTAAACAAAAGAAGAGGAAGAGAGGTTCAATGGATTACTTCCTTGACACATACCCACAAATCCTTCCAAACTCTCTAGCTACAATACACCCTAACCTCAATACTCTATTATCCAACTCCCTCTCAATGACCAGCAGCTTCTTTTTGCTTCTTTGCTTTGCTAATGATGTTCACTTTCCTGGGAATAACTTTCACTGTCCTTCAAAACACCAAAGTGTATCCTATCCTTCTTTAAAAGTCCACAAGGAACCATATCTCCTTTGTGAAGTCTTTTTTTTTTTTTACTGTAAAACAGTGCATCTGTTTGATTCTCTCTTATGGTTGTCATTACTATATTTTAATGAAGGAAATGTTAGGTTCTAACTATGAGGTTTGGTCTTTTTTTTTTTTTTAAGTGCCAACCATCACATAATTGTTCATGTTTTAGTAGAGGGAAAAGAACGTCTACAGTCTCTCTAGACGGATTCTCATCGCCTGGCACTTGAAGGCAGTCCTGTAAACGCTGGCTGAATGCATGAATGAATCAATGAATGAGTGAGATCACCCTTAATTTCTGTAGGTATTTTAATATAAGTCATAAATATGGAAGGAAATTTCTCATGGGACAAGACAGCATGCTGGCAGAAGGGCAGCATGGTACGACCCTTCATACAGTTTTATAAAATTAAAATATATCAAGATAGAAAAATATGTGATTATTTTAAGATATAAATGGGCAGAGAAGATTGAATGGCAACATTTCTACAGAAAAAAAGAACTATTGGGGGCGCCTGGGTGGCTTAGTCGGTTAAGCGATGGCTCAGGTCATGATCCCAGGGTCCTAGGATCGAGCCCCGTGTCGGGCTCCCTGCTCAGCCTCAGGGAGTCTGCTTCTCCCTCTCCATCTCCTTTCCCCACCTCCAGCTTGTGCTCTATCTCGTTATCTCTCTCTTCTCTTTCTCTCAAATAAATAAATTAAAAAATCTTTAAATAAAAAAAAGAAAAAAGAACTGCTTTATGGTAAAGTGGACATGGCAGAAGTGCAGAATATATTCAATTTAAAATAATATTTGTGAAATACCTCCTTTTAAATAAATAACACTGTCAAGCATTAGTACTTAAAAATACTTTTATAGGATATATTAAAAAGGGTTAACTTCTTTGGGCTTTACTTTTCTCATTTATAAAAGTGAGATTTAATCACCCAATAATACCTAAAAATACCTCAGAACCTTTCCGTGATAATTAAATTAAAAATGTATGTTTACCACCTGGGCCACTGAAGCTACTTAATTAAGTTTCCCCAGGGCAATCCTACTGACAATCGCAGTCTGTAATGTGTGCAGGGAGCACCAGCAGGGAGCTGAAGGTGATGGCGAGGAGGGTGAGCTTGAACATCGATGCACCATTTTCTCCTCTACCATATGTACTATTCATTTAAATGAAACTAGGTCTCTCTTCTCCATGTTTCAAGGGTTACTAAAACTGTTGCTTTAATGCTATCAGATTATTTCATCCTTCTAATCTCTTGGGCAGAAAGAAGATATTTATTTGTACAAATCAGTATTTTGAAATATGAAGTAGAGAATTAAAAAAAACCACATCCAGCCACTTTCATCTTTTTTTCTTTTTTTAGGGTGCAGGGATGGGTGGGCTAGGGAGCAGGTATTTTGAGGGGTCCAGGTAATGGAAGGATTGGGAAACAACATTTCCTGTATTTTGACTATTTGATTAAATTGACCCTCTACATTCGGGCACTATTTGACTCCCTGATTCGCTTTCTTCACATAGATCCAGCGAGTGGATTACCAAGTATATAATAAAAATAACTGGGTGTGGTTCCTATTGAGTCTCTTCTGAATGAATGCCTTGGACACCCAAGGCAGTACTAAAACCTCACACATCCTCAAACTACACAACTGGCTGTTAGTAAACTGATGCGGGATTTCTAGGCTGTGAGTCTTGTAAAGTTGTTTTAAAAACATGTACTCAAAGTCACAGTTTTTAATGAAAAATATTGAACAAAGCCTCAAAATAATTTCCCCTTCAGAAAAAAAGGAATTCCAACTTGACCTGAATCTGGGGTCTAACTCAGCAGGGTGACAATGTTCCCTGAAAGCCACCTCTCAGATAATGATGAGCCCATCAACCACTGGTTCCGGGAACCTTAAGAAAAAACAGATAACATATCCAGCTGGGGTACCCTGTCCTATGTCCTATGTCCTAAAATTCTGTAAGCACTACCTGTTATTTGCTTTTTAGTCTCCAAGTCCCTGGTTTGCTTCAGCACCTGCAGCAGCCGAGGTACCCCATTGAGTTCAGCCACCTCCAATTTGTTGTCATTGTCTTCAAATACCAAGTTTCTCAAGGCCCCACACACGGCTCGCTGAACATCTTCATTCTGAACTTTTAGGAGCTGTAGCAGCTTGGGGATGCCACGAAGCTGATTAACCTGGGAAAGAAATGCATGTGTATTTCAGATATTTATTCTGATGTGGCATTAAAGACACTGGGCTGATTAACCTGGGAAAGAAATGCATGTGTATTTCAGATATTTATTCTGATGTGGCATTAAAGACACTGGGCTGATTAACCTGGGAAAGAAATGCATGTGTATTTCAGATATTTATTCTGATGTGGCATTAAAGACATTGGTTGTAATATGAATGAACAGATGAAGTTCACTAATGTGGATTAGAACTCCCATCAAACAACAACGGAGACACAACCTGAGACGCACTATCAGGCAGTACCTCTCATCAAGGAGCTAACAATAAATTTGCGAAGGCTGAAACCTATGAGATAATTGAAGGGGAAAATGAAGTGACAGAAGGTAGGTAAGTGATAGCGAAGTGGATAGAAAGAGTTTAGTTATAAAAGCCTTGAGCATAATGAAGATGAACAGACCTGGGCATGCAAGGAATGAGGCGTTTTATGGAAGAACAGCACATTACATGAGTGTTTTTTCCAGGAAAGAATTTTACAGTCAACACAAACAAAAGGCTCAATTTCATTAACAGTAGAAATAAAGATTCATTTACCATAGCAACGGTAGTAGCAGTGCAAACTAATCCTAAATGCCAGCAATTTTTATGATCAATTGCTTTGGGTATTTAAAAAGATTTATATAAAAATTATGCAAGCATTTTAATTTAAGTAAATAATGTAACTTTACAACTTTTTGAGATGCTATTTTAGAAACATTTCTCCGATCCAAATATGCAAGAAAGAGTGTGCTGAGAAAGGGCCAGAACAAGGAATAGAAAAATAGATGATTTAGATTCTGAAATGGATGGTTGTTCAAGAAAACATCAAATAATGACAATCTGAGCAAAGTGATTTTATATTTCAGGCTGCAAATATTATCTAAAAAAATCAAGAGGTGGACATGGGTTGCTGAAGAGAAATGTTAAGTTGCAGACTGAGGGCTTTCCTTCTCATAGACTTCCACTGGCATCTGATGCAGAAAAATTTATTTGTTTTTTAGAGAGAGCGAGACAGAGTGTGAGTGGGGAGGAGCAGAGGGAGAAGGAAAGAGAGAAATCCCAAGCACGCTGAGCGTGGAGCCTGATGCAGGGCTCCATCTCATGACCCTGAGATCATGACCTGAGACAAAATCAAGAGTCTGATGCTTAACTGACTGAGCCACCCAGGCACCCTCAGAAATTTTTAGTAAGAACTTTTGGTAAAGATCTCAGTCATTTTCACCATCTTAATGCAGAAATTTTTAGGATATAACTGTTGTTGTGAATGGGCAGGTGTTTCCCTTTCGGATCAAGTTCATCACCTACAAATGATGCCCTAACTGCACAACAGTTCATGCTCTGGGCCTCATAACACCTTTTCATATTTTCTATGTATCATCAAATTCCAGTTTCCCTTTCATAGACAGATAAATGGTATTTAAGACATAATGTTCCAATTTGACATCTCCCTTTGTTAGGATTGGGAAGAAGACTAGCAAGGCAAGAATAAAAGTCAAGGTTTAAAAATAGTAACTATAATAATAATAAAACAGATGATGACTCCTCCACCCACTTCCAGGTGTTATCTGATAAATAGCTTCTTAAGAACCTTAAGAGATTAAGTACTCTTGGGGCACCTGGGTGACTCAGTCGGTTAAGCATACAACTCTTGATTTTGGCTCAGGTCATGATCTCAGGGATGTGGGATCCTGTCCCCGATCAGGCTCCATGTTGGGCATGGAGCCCTGCTTAAGATTCTCTCTCCTTCTCCCTCTGCCCACCCCCCTTCCTTCTCTTAAAAAAAGAGAGAGAGAGAGTAGTCTTTTGGTGCCTTTAAGGCTTCGCTGGTAGTAATGAGGAGTACCACTTCCATTTATTGCTCCCTTCAGAGGAGACATTCATTTGCAGAACAGGACACAACTGGTAAACTGCTCACAGCAATTTTGTTGGGCTATGTCTAGAACCATTCTAATATATTTGTGTGACAATGCCAATGAGAAAGAATACTTAGCTATCAATTAATTCTGGTCCAACAGATCATCTATTTGATCACTTCATCTATTCTCATTATTACACTTCCTTAAAAGCAGAAAGGCACAATTTATTTTAAAACAGTCTGTAACTCACATGTTTCCCTAATTCCATCAATTTCTATTTCATAGTTAGGTTTTAAAATGGTTAAATTTACACTCTGTAAACTTCATAAATGCCACCTATACTAAATCTGCACACCAGCAGTATAAACATCAGACGCGAAAAGAAAATCCTGTTTGGGGGGCGCCTGGGTGGCTCAGTCGTTGAGCGCCTGCCTTCGGCTCAGGTCATGGTTCCGGGATCCTGGGATCGAGCCCCACATCGGGCTCCCTGCTCTGCGGGAAGCCTGCTTCTCCCTCTCCCACTCCCCCTGCTTGTGTTCCCTCTCTCACTGTG